TTAAAAAAAAAAAAAAAAAAAAAGAGGAAAATGCAAATAGGGAAAAAGTCTCTGTTCAAGAACAGGTGGAAACACTTTTTTATCCAAAATTCCCTCCCACTGGCATTTCCCAGCAACTAGTATAGTCCTTCGTCAGCATCACATTAGCGATTTTCTCTGTCTTGATGGAGGCCAACCACCCTTGGAGGCCTTTAGAAAAGTTTAAGAGTATTGGATTAGAATAAATACATACAGCTATGTCCTAGAAATACGGAAAAAAAATATATTTACACACACATGAATATAAATACATTCAGTGCTGCGAGGCCATTCATGGGATGAAGGTATATCTCCATGGCTAAATTTCACCTCAGCAGCAAGTATAGTCCAACAATTATTGGTGTAGTTTTTTTGGAAAATACCACAAAAAATCCCCAGTGAAAATAGCCTCTGTGGATACTTCTCCTGCGCTGATGTTTCAGCTTGATATATGAAGGAATGGGGTTTCCTCCTCCAAAATGTTATGGGTCTTTTAGCCTCAGCTAACTCTGTCTCTCTCCTCACTGCACCATTTTTATCTAATTTAATGCAATGGGATTTTTTTGGTGCACCTCAACATTTGATCCATGTTCAGTCCCCAAAATTAAATAATCAAAAATGTTGCTTTTTTGGTCACTCAACCCTGAGCTATTTCTGTTCTTGGCTCTGAAACTTTGCAAGATGCATTTTTTTGAAGGACTTTCCTCAGACTGCCAAGCCATTCTTGATTTAGGGATCTCTCGAAACTCCTCCACAAGCTGAACTTGGGGACAAAAGATGCTGGATTCTAATCCAGCTTGAGATACTTGCTTTTTTTTTAGAAATGTGTTAGTTTTTGCACTTGGATGGGCACCATTCATTCTTCTTCCCTTCATGGCAGGTTGTTGGAGGAACTCACCTCTTTTGATAACTACAATATTTGGAAAAAACTGCCTGTGAACTACCAGATTTTGCTTATTTTCTGGCATGCAAATCCCTCTGCAATATGACCCAGGGAACATGGCAGCCTTCAGGGAATGTGTTTTGCTCTTTGCATCATCAGAAGTCAGAATATTGCCTCTTTTCATTATAAAAGTTCACTAGCAGAACGCTTGAAGGGTGCACCAGGATGGTGCCATACACCTGTCTACCCATTTGCTTGCCATGCAGCCCACATGTGGAGGCTTCATGGACAAAATAATGGGATTTGGGGATGTTTCCTGAGGTCCCTGTAAGAGAAAAGTTCAATTCCAAGCAGTGTCTTGTGAGGCACTTTCCATCAGCATTGGATACTGTAGGAAATTTGGATTTCTGTTATAAGAAAACCACCAAAAATGGTCCAAAGTGTCCTAAACCAATGACATGCATCGCTCTTCTTCAGAAATAGTTCTTACTTTGTCTTGTTTCTAGAACAGGATCTGGCCATCAGACTTGAAACAAGGTGGTGACAGACAAGAACATGGATGCTATCAAGAGCTGCACCAAAGAACAGTAATTCCTGCAGAGATTCCAAGGTTTGGGGCTCAAACAAGCCATCAATCTTGGCTGTTTCCAGGAAATGCATTGTCCTTATGGTGCTAGTGGGAAAACTAGCCAAAAATTGGGAAAGGGTTTGTTTCCACAAGCAGTCTTATGGAAAAGATCTCAGAGGTCCTAGGGAAGGTCTTGCAAGGTATGTGGAGAACATTGCCAAAATGGCCCACGCTACAAATAGAGCTCTAAGACATTGCCCAAGATAGTAAATCTCCATAACTTGTTCCTCATCCCTTACCCTCTCCCCAACCTCCCCAAAACCATCTGGCAAGCCCCAGCTGCCTCTACCAGGTTGTCTAGCTCAGGGTCATCACTGAAGAAGGGCTTGTGCTCCTGTTCCTGCTGATGGACGAAGTTCTCTATGTCAACGTCAAAGCTGGCTGAAGTGATGCACTCAGAGCCCTGTGTTGCCTGCTCACACTTCTCAAAGAGCAGAGTCAGCAGCGGGAACAGCGGGTGCCTGCAGAGGACAAAGCAGACAATAACATCCAGTGCTTAAGGTTCCATTTCCATTTTCACCACACACCATCCAGCCATTCCCTCCCAGCATGGTGGTACAAACCTCAGGCCCAAGCCAATAATGAACCTGATCCCTCTAGAGCTTTTCTAACAACAACAAAAAGCTTAAATATTTCAAAATTCACCATCTTCTCCACCAGGCAATTGCTTCTCCCAGCATCTGTGTGGTTTCCATCATTGCACCAAAGCTGGCATTTCCAAAATGTTTTGCCAAGAGCAAAAAGGTACGGCTTTGGTGTAGTTGTCTTGGGGTCATCTGCTGTCCTGGTGGCTTTGCATTTTGGGGATCAATATCAGCACCTGCTCATCAATGGTAATATTTTACCCCAGAATGTCTGTCTTGTTAGGAGACACCAGATGGGGATGAGCAGGTATTTCCACGTGTCTGCAGCATCCTATGGACCAACACTGCTATGGGCTGCTTCTCCACCAAGAGGTGTCTTGGCACATCTGTCAAGCACATCCATGTCAATGCATAAAGTAAAAGCTGGGTCGAATCCTACTTCTTTTTTTTGCCACAAGAAGGCTCTTAGAAAACTAAGGTTTATAGTTCTCCTGGCAAATCCAGAAACTGCTCTAATGATGCTGCTACGCCAAAGCGATATAAAATGCAAATATACAAACAGCACCAAAGCATGTGGAGAAGAAGATGAAGACCATGAGTTAGCACAACCATCAATGAACTTCTCCAGCCATGCAATTAAAAAAAAAAAAAAAAGTAATTAAAAAAATAAAGTTTTAATTGTCTTTCAGGGGAGAAATGCAAAATGTTGCTCCAGGGACGGTTTTCCCCAGCACCCCAGTTGTCCCAGTGCAATGGGACTCGCTCCACCATTTCACGTCCAAAAGATGTCCAAAAAGATGATGATGAATCATTTCCCACCACTCTTTTCCAAGAGAAGTCAGGCGAAGGGGTTAAACCCCTGGGCTAAGTCTTCATTTGCAGCCACTCATACCGCAGCATATTATAGTTTAATCTGTCCTGATCCCGATTTAATGCAAGATTCACCCAGGCGGGAGAAGGGAGTGGGGGTGGGAGGGAAAATAATTTCATAATTTCGGCAGCCCTGCCTGGGCTGAGCTGAGGGATATGGAAGGCAAATTCCAGGCAGTGGGTGGAATTATTGGGATCAATAACGAACCTGATCCCTCTAGAGCTTTTCTAACAACAACAAAAAGCTTAAATATTTCAAAATTCACCATCTTCTCCACCAGGCAATTGCTTCTCCCAGCATCTGTGTGGTTTCCATCATTGCACCAAAGCTGGCATTTCCAAAATGTTTTGCCAAGAGCAAAAAGGTACGGCTTTGGTGTAGTTGTCTTGGGGTCATCTGCTGTCCTGGTGGCTTTGCATTTTGGGGATCAATATCAGCACCTGCTCATCAATGGTAATATTTTACCCCAGAATGTCTGTCTTGTTAGGAGACACCAGATGGGGATGAGCAGGTATTTCCACGTGTCTGCAGCATCCTATGGACCAACACTGCTATGGGCTGCGTCTCCACCAAGAGGTGTCTTGGCACATCTGTCAAGCACATCCATGTCAATGCATAAAGTAAAAGCTGGGTCGAATCCTACTTCTTTTTTTTGCCACAAGAAGGCTCTTAGAAAACTAAGGTTTATAGTTCTCCTGGCAAATCCAGAAACTGCTCTAATGATGCTGCTACGCCAAAGCGATATAAAATGCAAATATACAAACAGCACCAAAGCATGTGGAGAAGAAGATGAAGACCATGAGTTAGCACAACCATCAATGAACTTCTCCAGCCATGCAATTAAAAAAAAAAAAAAAGTAATTAAAAAAATAAAGTTTTAATTGTCTTTCAGGGGAGAAATGCAAAAATGTTGCTCCAGGGACGGTTTTCCCCAGCACCCCAGTTGTCCCAGTGCAATGGGACTCGCTCCACCATTTCACGTCCAAAAGATGTCCAAAAAGATGATGATGAATCATTTCCCACCACTCTTTTCCAAGAGAAGTCAGGCGAAGGGGTTAAACCCCTGGGCTAAGTCTTCATTTGCAGCCACTCATACCGCAGCATATTATAGTTTAATCTGTCCTGATCCCGATTTAATGCAAGATTCACCCAGGCGGGAGAAGGGAGTGGGGGTGGGAGGGAAAATAATTTCATAATTTCGGCAGCCCTGCCTGGGCTGAGCTGAGGGATATGAAAGGCAAATTCCAGGCAGTGGGTGGAATTATTGGGATTTAAGAGCTGGTGGCTCAGTGGCAGGTGCCCGCTGCCATTTCCAGAGCTGCTCCCTCAACTCTGTCAAGGCACAGAATTACCCCAAGGATGGGGGGGGACACTGGGGGATGGATTTGCAGCCCCCAAGTGGTTTGTAGCCCTTTTGCTCTGAGGGGTTGCAGGCACCACAGGGGGGTTAAGACCATTGCTTGTATCACCATGTGCTCCTCAGTGTTAATAACTGGGGGGAGGGTAACCCCAGTGAAAGTCTTGGAGCACTGGCAGGAAGAAGGAGGTTTGCCTTTCAGCTGGAAATAAAAATAAAGCAAAATAAAATAAAATTAAATGAAATAAGATAAAATAGAATGAAATATAATATAATCCAATCAAGTAAATAAATACAAATGTAAAAAATAATACAAAAATATAAGAAAAAACAAAAGACCCTCTAAAACAAAACAAAGTAAGGTAACATAAAATAATAAAATGTAACAAAACAAAGGGGAGGTGCAGAGACAAGGGAGTGCCCAAAGGTCCATAGCTGAACATAATGTCAAGGAGTGGTGAAATTTGGGTTTCTGCCACAAGCTGTACTCTGAATTGGTTTTGCAATTTTTATTTCTCTTTTCCATGTAAAAAAAGGATCAGTTTTTCGCTATTTCCAACCTTCCTTGGAAGGAAGGGAACATTGACCATGGGGGATGGCATGGAAGCTGAGAGCTGGAGCCCTTTCTTGCTATGAAATTTTGGAGAAAATCAGCTGGATATCCAGGATGCATGGAGAAACAGGAGGATTTTGTCCACTGAGGGTGTTACAGAGGTGGAAAAATCACCCCTGTGGTACAAGGAAGAGTTTTGGGGTGGAAAAATTGTAGAACATAGTTTTGCAAAAATATTTTCGTTGTTTTTTTCTTTTTTTCCCCCCAGGGAATCCTCCCAATCAAAGGGCTGAACCAGCCCTGACATTTCCCTGCCAGAGAGAGGTTGTTGGCTGTGACTAATAAAAAGGATTCAACAGATATGGACTAATTAAAAAATATTAATTCCTCTAATGGCCTCATTCCTCACCTTCAGCAGGCCTAACCGGCTGGTACCAGCACTGTTGGCATATCCAAACCTGCTTTCTTTTACCCAGATCAAATATATAAAAAATATTTTATATATACCAAAAATATATATATATATAATATATATAGTAAAAACAAAACAAACCTTAAAAAAAAAAAGACAAACAACCAAACCCCCCCCAAAAAAACCCCAAAACTTAACATTAAGAAATCCAATATTCCTGCTTGGAAAACCCCATCTCTTGTCTCATGGTGCTGAGGTTGTTTAAGCATCAGTTACTGTGGGAGCAGCATCTTGACTGGTCCAAAAATCTGTTGGGAAGTCCTGGGTGCACTGTTGTATAAAGTGAATAAAATACTTGAGCTGGGAAAAAATTCCAGTGGAAAGTGACACTGCTGGACCAGTCCTGGCCAAGCTGTTCCCAGGCCAAGGAGGGTGGGGGGATTGATTTTTTATGCAAGCAGTGACTTCTCCTGTTGCTTTTCTATTTCACATCACATTTTCCCAGAGTTTCCCCACCAAGTTGGTCGACCAACAGTTGCATCCAACACCTTCTGCCTTGGTGTAATTATTGTGCATTAAGAAAAATCCATCATTCTGGGTAGGGCTGAAAAATCTGTAAGTGATGTGCAGGTATTGCAAACAGCAAAAGAAAAGTTCCTTGGATGTGTTTTTAGAGATAAAAATATATTTGAGGGGTAGCTTTGGCTGACACCCAAAACCAAGCATCCAGGTTTGAGCAACATGCCCAGGACCAGCCAACTATTTTTTCCTCACTTTTCTGGGTGGGAAATAGCTCCAAAAACGTATTTCTAGCTTTTTTTTTTTTTTTTTTTTTGTCCTTCAAATTAAGGCTGTGAAAACTCCAAAGGGCTTTTTGGTATTTCACTAATGGTGAAAAGATCCTTGCAGAAGTGCAAAGAAAAGGGGTTTTCTTTTCTTGAATGACCTTTTTTGCCTTGAGAAAATTATTTCCAGCATTGGAAAAAATCTGGAGACCCACTGGGAATAATCCTTTGCATTTTCTTGGGACACTGGTGGGTTTATTCCATGCCTTCATCTGCCTTTCCAGGCCTTCTGGACTTGTAATATTTGGATATTTGGAGTCAAAATACTTTAATTCCTTCACTTCAACGCCGCAATTTTTTGGTTCACAAGTCCCTGTGGCCCTGACCATTAACAGGGGAGTTAATCCTTAGTCTTAACGCTTAACCCTAATTATAATATACATTATCATTACATCATTTCTGTGTACATTATAATATTGTAAATAATTACGTCACATGTAATTGCATATTAATTCTATAATTACACCATTTAAATAAAGATAATGTTACTTAATACACTTACACAATAACATTACTGTATATATATTTCCCTATTATTATAGCCAGAGTGACAAAAAAAGGAGACAGGAGGGGCTCATCCACCCCGCACCCATTGCTGCTCACAGATGCATCAACTGCGCATTTCAGATTCATACTTGATTTTACTCCTGGGTGCTTTTTCAGCCCCAAATCACATCATTTTGCCAAAATAAAGGGTAATTTGGAGGGTTTTTTTGGGGGTGAATATTTTTGAGGGAGGGAGATGCTTCAAAACCAGGTCCACAAAGAAGCTCCAGCACCCTGCATAGTTCTTATCACTAATTATTATTATTCCTAAAAATAAGCTAATTGCTAACACCCTCCCCCCATTCCAGTGTGTTAATTAATGCATTAGAGTAATAGCAGATTAATAATGCATTAAAATGATGAGTGCATCAATGAATCAGTGCATCAACCATCAGATCGATGCTTTAATAACGCATTAGAACCACTAATGCATTGATGCAATAATGCATTAATAAATGCATTAATTAATTAACACCCACTGCTTCTTAGCTTGCATCACCTGTAGACGGCTCGTTTGTCTGCCTCCAGCTGCACCTGGGGGTCGCTGGCCACAGCAGGGACCGGCGCGGTGGTGGCCGGGGTGGGGAGATGAACAGGCTGGGCCTTGGTGGGCTGCTGGGCTGTGGCTGTCATCTGGGAAAGGGGGGGAGAGGAAGTAAAGGAGAGGGAAAAAAGGAAGAAAAGGAAATAAAAATGGGGTTTTTTGCTCTTTTGTGTGTTTTGCTGCTTTTTGTGTGGAATTTTTAAGATTTAGGAGGGGGCAGCCCCATGGTTGGGGGCAGGATGGTTTTGGGCATAAAATGATATTTGCATTTCATCTAATGCTAGAAACAGTAGGTTTAAGATTTTCACACTTTCCTCCCATTTTTTCACCTGGGGAAAGCACAGGGAAAAAACATCCTGACAACCTTATTGCAAAGGTGGGGAGGAATTCATTATGCTTTAAATCAGCTGCTTGCCAAGAGTTTTTCCCAAGCAGGTACTACTGTCTAGACACACAGACGTTTTCAACCTCCTTCCAAAATTATCTGAGCCTCTTCCAACTTGCCAAGTTTGAGGATGAGCCATTTTTGCTCCACAAGAAAAAAGAGAAAACCTTTTTTTTTTTTTTTGGCCAATCCCTAAATCACCCACCTTTGGCCCCAGACTGCTAATGTGAAGCGAACAGGGCTGGATTCTACAGGGAAAAATCTGTCCACTCTGCACTAAATCCTTCTACTAATGAATATTTTGCTTTTTGAAAAAATTGCAATTATTTTTGTTCAATATATGTGTGTAAGAGGCAGAGGTGGGCGCACCAGTGCACACACCAATCACCTCCAGCACAAACCCTGAGTGGCCACCCCCTAAATTGCATGTATTTAGAGGCAATTTCTGCTTAAAATTAATAGTTGCATTAAAGAAATTGGAATTACTTGCTGCCGGGCTGCAGATGGCTCCAATGTACACCCTGTGATGTATCACTTGATCTTCACAAGATTCAGTTAAAAATAAAAATTCAAAGAGAATTTTAATCAATTTGGTTTCAAATGCATCAGCATTTGAACCCCCTAAATCCCCAGATCCCCTAAATCTGGTGGTTTTACCTCAAAATTTTGCTGGAAAATTAACATAAAAGGGATGTTTCACCTGCTGTGGTGTGGAAATATTAAAAAATTAGCTTTTGCCTGTTTCCACTCAAAGATTTTCAATTGCATAACAAAAGGAAGGCTCTACCTCTTGCTAAATATATGTAATTTATTTATTTGTCTAATATATTTGTATATAAATTTCTGTGTGTAGTTATAGATAAAATATCTATATATTTATTTATTGGTCTGATATGCTTATATATTTCTGGGATTATCATGTAGAACTAAAATCTTTTTATACATCATTTATTTGTAAAATATACCATATTTATTTCAGCACATATTTAAATTTTCTAATAAAATCCTATATTTATTTCTCTGATTATATATTAATAGTATTTCTAAATCTAGAAAATAAATGTGTTTAAATATTAATAATATATTAATATATATAATAAAGATATAAAGAAATAAAATGTTTTTATATATGTTATATTTATGTTATATATATACATACACATACATATAAAAAGACGTGTATGCCCAGTCTTCTCCAGCCAAATCCACCCTGATACTCAGTTTCTTGGCATGAAAACAAGCAGATATCTCACCTCCCTTAAAAGCTGCATAAACCCAACCCCAGCCCAAACCGTGGACACCTTTAGCCTTTAAAATGTTTGAGTTTAATATATCCTGCCTGACCTTTTCCTGCCGATACGGTGCTTTCTTCTTTTCTTTCTTTCTTTCTTTTCTTTTCTTTCTTTCTTTCTTTCTTTCTTTCTTTCTTTCTTTCTTTCTTTCTTTCTTTCTTTCTGTCTGTCTGTATGTCTGTCTTTCTGTCTTTCTGTCTTTCTGTCTTTCTGTCTTTCTGTCTTTCTGTCTTTCTTTCTGTCTGTCTTTTTCTTTCTTTATCTTTTTCTTTCTGTCTTTCTTTCATCTGTCTTTCTTTCGTCTGTCTTTCTGTCTTTCTGTCTTTTTTTTAAATCTCTTTTATTGTTTCTAACTCCAAAGTTTGGCTCCAGCATCTCTGAATTCATCCAGTGCTGTTTCATTGCTAACTCTCCCCACCCAGAACTGGATTTCCAATAAATCAATGAAAAACACTTACTTTCTCTTTTTCCCCCCCACTTTCTATCTACAACCAAAATAAAACCAGATTTGGGATGCTCATGGAGTATCTCCCCATGCTTTTGCTCTTTTTTTCCCTGTTATCTCCCTTGAAAATTACTTTTTTGGTGGGGGAAAGGGCTTTTTTCCTTTATTTCCAGTTTTTTTTCCTTACCATGCTCATTTACCAGAATGCCAACGTCCTTCTCTCATCCTGCTGCAAGATCCTGCCAACTTGGCTCTTTTTCCAGCCAAGTCTGCAACTTAATTTGGATAATTATCAAAAAACCTCACCTCCACTGCAGCTGTTTGGAAGGTGTTACCTCACCTTAGACTAAAGAATATAATAAATAAATAAATAAAAACAATCCCAAATTGGCAGAAAAAGAGGCAAGAGGATGCTCAGATGTATATGCAGCAGGATGCTGGGTACGGGAAATACACAGCCAAATTGTGGCTTTATTTATGGAGCAGGTAGGGATGGAAAAGGAGGAAAAAGGCAGCAGGTTTCTTGCTCAGGGCATCTCTGCAATGGTAAAATGGAGAATTGTGGGGGAAAATGGTCTGAATTTGGGTATTAAAGTTGCAAGCATTGAAAAAAAAATCTGCAAGTGGGTTTTTTTTATATATATATAATTATTTTTTTTAATGGCCAAAAACAGTTGCAGGAGTGAAACAAACAGATGTTGAAAAACATTGCAAAAAATGTTAAAAAAATTATGTACAACCTGTTTCAAAGTTGTTTTAAAACAGATTAAAAATAAAGTAAAAAGATTATGCAAAGATGTCTTTAAAAGTGTAAAAAGTAAAATGGAAAAAAATTACATTTATGTTATGTAAAAATATAAGAAATTTTTAGTGTTTAAAATATATAAAAATACGTAAGCATTTAAAAATGTAAGATTGTTAAAAATGTTTTACAATGTTTTAAATATGCTAAAACTATGTTAAACAGTTATGCATGTTATGTAAGAAAATATGTTAAAAATATCTTTTAAAATGCTTTTCAAAGATAATTAATGTCTTAAAATGTAAAAAAGTAAAAAGACCCCATGGTTTTGCAAGACTCCCAGTTACAGTAGAGATTTTTGAGGTGCAGATTCCTCAATGATGTACATCACCTCCCTGTTGTATTCCTTTTTATATTATATTTCTGTTTTTTTCACTCCTTTTGGAAAAAAAAACATTGGCTGGAGTCCATAGCAGTCACCAGGAGATGTGGAGCTTCCTGCAGGTTTCAGTGAGATAATCCCACTTGTTTTAGGGCTTTTTTGAAGACTATGAGCAAATACATTAATTTTAGAGAGGAACCACTGTTTCTTCAGGGCAAGAAAGTGTCTTAAATCTGTGATATTTACCCCATTCCTTTATGTTTCACAGTGAAATTTCTCTACTGCCATCACAGGGGTTCTGAGCTCAAAAATGTGCTGAGGACACTGGGAGTTGGGGGTTCCCTCCTACTACAAAATCAACATCTCCAGACAATTTTTCATCTGTGACTTAAAAAAAAAATATATTTAAATTTATACTTATTATTATTTAAGTTTCCATTTTTGGCCTGAAAGGAACCCCCTAAAAAGCACTTTGGGTGGGGACAAAGCTGTTCTGATCACATTCTGTGCTGAAAATGGTAAAATATCAACATGTCCACCCAAATTTTAATGATTTTCAAATACATTTATATAGTAAGTAAATAATTAAGTTTTAATTTTTTTTTCCATTTTTGGCTTTGAGTGTTCCAGCTAAAAAGCACTTTTTTTTGCAGGCCAAAGCTGCTTTCATCACTTTCAGTGCTGAAAATTCCTATTTTTAAACCCACTTTTTTCACTAATTTTGACAAAGTAATGGTGGAAGACTTCCACTTGGCTTTTTCTTTTAATTTATTATGGAAAAATATCGGGATTTTTATGCAGCCTCTTTAATTTCCAACAGGTAGAGCTGCTCAGGGTGTGCTACCACACTTGGTAAAAAGTATTATTATTATTATTATT